AGCTTATCTTTTTAATTTTTTTCCTTAGTATTAAAAAAAAAAAACATACACAGTTCATACTTCTTCAGATGGTCTTAGTTCTTAACCTAGTACCTGTTCTCTGTTTCTGGAAAGCACATAGAGTGAGTTTAGGAATCACAACTCTTTAAGTTCCTCAAGGCTTTGACAATTCTCAGACTAGCCTTGTTTTTGATGACCTCGACAGCTTTGAGTTGCAGCCTACTGCTCCTTGCACTTCCTTTCAGCTTGTTTAAAATGACTTACACCAAAAGAAGCCAGCAATACAGGTTACTTTTTCCTTAGGCCTCCGGAGAACTCTTTTACTAACAAAGATTAAATCTAAAGAAAAAGAATTTCTCAATTGAGGAAGAGTGTGGTCCACACCAATTCTACTTCTCAGCATGTGGATGAATGAAAGAGTATCTGCTCACATGATTTGTCTATTTACTGGATCCAAGATATACAAGGAAAGATGGAAACACTGTGGAGAGTTTTGTAGAAAGGGCCCAGGGACCCTTCCTCTGTTGTGAGCAGATGTTTTCTGCATTATTGGGCCCAGAGTCAAAGGCTTAGGCTGCTGCCCTGTGGGGAATGTGGACGGGATGGCAGCGCTGAGGGATCAGGCTGGTGAGGCCCTGGTGTTTTATGAACACAAATCTGGAGTTCTCTCCAGTGGAAGTTCTGGGACGGGGCTCTGACTGCGACAGGGCTGGGTGAGGAGAGAAGGAGGCAGAGAGACCTGGGATGTCCCTGGATTCTGAGTTATTCTTCTTGTGTGGAACCTCTCATGCTGTCTCTGTCCAGAAGTGTGAATGGTGTCAGACCTTTTCTGAGGCAGATGGCTTGGTTTAGCAAATAAAAAAAAAGCGGCGCTCCCAGTCAAGGTTGAAGTTCAGTTACATTATGAACCATTTTTTTAGTGTAAATTTGGGAATACTCATATTATTTGTCATTTATCTGAAAATTCCATTAGCCAGACATCCTGAGTGTGTGACTCTGTGCCAGTGTGCAGATGAGGGGAGGGACAGGGAGAGAAGGATGTGCCTTCAATGGCCATGCTGCTACCTTGCAGAGCAGATACCTTAGTGTGGGGAACAAATGGGACAGGACCTATTCTCAGAGGGTACCCAGGTCACCACCGAAGGAAGTCTGAGCCTCTTACATCACTGGGACAGTACATTTGTTTTTGTTTGGTTCAATATTCTCTAATAAACAGGCTCAAGGAAATCAAATCCGGTAGGATTGGAAACAAGTAACAGCACAGTTGTATTTCCGCACAGACATTTGATTTTCCATCTGCCTTTTTAATTCTTTTTGCCTTCTGAATTTTTGGACTAGTGCTTAGCTTTACAGCTCTCTCCTCATCCTTTCTGACTTCCAGTTTTCTCAGAAATATCTCCAATATCTCAGAATAAAAACTGAGCTTTGCAAAGATTCCATGTACATTGGCTGATTGAAAATTAAATATAATTGTAAAAATTAAGTGCTACACCATGTCACATGACATACAGAGAATAATACGAAATCCTGAAGAATCTGAAACTGGTCTAAGAATGTATGCTCTTGGCCCCTAAGAAGTCAGCTGAAGTATTATGCTTGAGGCCTTCTACATGTCAACTGAGTCAACATCTGAGAGTATTTAAAAGCCTTTGCAAAATACAGTTGACACACCATAGTTTTTTATGGCATAAGTTCCCATTAGCCTCAACTGCTGTGTAATGTTTATTACACTGATTATAAATGTTAATTTCTCAGAGCAATTATAATTTTATCTTCTATGGCAGTGTTTTTAAAGCTGTAGGTTATGACCCCTTAGTGAATCATGAAATCAATGTAGTGGGATACAATCAGCATTTAAGAGAACGGAAAGATTAGAGTAGAAAATATTCAATTCACTGCATAATTATCCCTGTAAATGTTATTCTGAGTAATTTAATTTTAATTTTATAATTTTATAGGAGTTTATGTAACTACTTGATTATGATGTGAAATGCATTTTTTTATGTCATACTCAAAAAAGGTGGACAATATTCTACAATATAAAAGAAGATTGATCCAAAGGCAAATCCCAACTTAAAGTCTTACAGATTGGTGAAAGAGAAAGAAGAATTTTCATTAGCAGCTGATGGCCATTATGCTTTTACTGATAACTGAATCCCTTCCCCATTTGCTATGAGGGTTTTCGTTTGTTTGTTTTGAGGCCAGGTCTCACTATGCCCTCCAGACTGGCCTCATACTCGTGGTGAGTCTCCTGCTTCAGCTTCCTGAGTTCTGGGATTAAATACAGTGTTGCTATGAGTTTTGTTCAGGGTCATAATTGAGTAAATTTTTCCTTATTCTCAAAGAGACACTAATATCATTGGCCAACCAATGGCTGTGACTCATCCACATGGCTGACACTGACAAAGTTTCCACAATCTGAGGTACAGGATCTCAGGATAAATCCTGAGGGGATTTCACTGACTTTATTGGACCCAAAAGCTACAACTCTTGTTGCGTAAGTCCTGCTTTACCTTGGTCTTAACCATCCAGCAGAAAAGAATAAAATCGAAATATAAGAAGTAAAGCCATGCTGTTATGTTAATCTGTGGGGGACTCAGGTCAACAATTTCTGACACTGTCAGTGAAGCGGAAGACCCAATACTATTATGGGCTATTGGACTCTTTTAGAATATTTTTCTGAGTTTACACACCTATAATATTCAAATAACGGCACTTAACAAAAAATAGGGGATACAGATGAATGTCCATTTTGTATCTGTGTATTCAAAGTGGTTAAGATAGATATATAGTTACATTCTCCTAATGAATAGAGTGATTTGTTCTAATGGTGCTTGTAAATAGGATATCATGTCCACATCTTGTACAGCAATTAACCACTAGGAAGAATGTATGCAATGTGTGAATTATTGAAACTGTCCTAGCAAAAAATAAAAAAATTTAAAAAATGAATGTTGACTTGTTAAAAAAAGAGAGACACTAATATCTTGGTGATATTTATAAGTAAGGATTATAGGGTTGGGCTGTTTCTACTTTACTTCTTTTTTGTACTGGGGATCGAACTCAGGACCTTGCGCTTTCTAAGCAGGCCCTTATGGTATTCGGCTACATTCCTGGCCCTGTTTCTACTGTACACTGGCCAACTTGCCTTAGGCACGTGTATTAATTGCATTATGTCTCAGTTGCCTCATTTGTAAAGCAGTGTTTATAATGCATTGGTAATCGAACTTTTGTAAAGAATAAATGAATTTATTTAGAATGCATCTAATATGGCATTTGGCATAAACAAGCCTTTAACAAATGTTAACGTCACTAATATTAATGTTCTTACCTTTATAGGAGAGTAACAAGTATTAGAAAATAAATGGCCTGAAATTTTTGCTCCCCATAAACTTTTACCTCCTGAATAGTGGAGCCCTGAACATGTTTTCTGGTTCAGTCCATGCATGACCCCTGGGGCTTTATTTCTTTTGCCCAGTGTTTGCATTTCCTAGTTCACTGAAGTGAAATAGTTTAGAATAGAGGTCCTCAACTTGGGATGCCTGCTGCAGCTCATAAGACTGAATTTGCTGAAGAGTGATCATGATTTTGAATGAATATCTATCTATATCTATATATCTATATCTCTATCTATCTATCTATCTATCTATATATTTAGGGGAGTGAGTGGAGGGGAACAACCATTGTTATCTGAACAGTCAGATGTAGTACAGTGACAACTAAGTCATAATTTGACTGAACTCCAAGCTTATTAATTAGAATCATCACTTTTATCAAATTACTAAATCTATTGCGGCACTGCTTACTCCATCCATAAGATGGGATTAAGCATACGTCCCACATTTTACAGTTGTTGCAATAACTAATGTTCACAATAGCTGTGAAGACCTCAGCACAGTGGTTATGATAATAAGTAATCAAGAAAATAGTAGTAGGAGAAGAGTGGGTAAACTGGAAAACAGAATTGATCAGATATTTTTCTGAGTATTAATTTTGGTGTGCTAAATCTATTACTGAGCCATTGAATAATACATTAGTTTCTTAATTTAATAAAAATTAATTGTATGCTGTCATGAATTAGGGATTGGGTGTGGCACTGAGAAAGAAGCAGTAAACTAGGAATCTTCTCTGCTGTCGTAGAGTTTGAAGTCCAGGGAGACTGCAGCTGGGGAATGACTAGCCAGGTGACAAGCGCTGCAGGAGGCCCGCTGTGGGAGTGCATGGGATGTCTCTCACCAAGGACCACATTCAGGAAGGTCTGCGGTTTTGTTTTGTCTTATACTTACCACCTCAATTTTAGAACTAAAAAGAAGTAACTTTCTTTCATTTAGTACTAAAAATTATTAGTCAATGTAACACAGTTATTAAGGTGCATAAAGGTGAGGCTCTGCAGAACCTGAAGGAAGCCAAGCTTTTCTTGGACATAGCTCCAAAGATGATGAGAGAAAGTGAGCCCTCCTTGTGACATTCAGACAAGTCCACAGGATAGATACCCGTTTTACACATTAAATTCCCAGAACCTAGGGTATTCTATGTTTAACCTTAAATTTAACACTCTATTACACTAAGTCTAGTAGTTTCATATCTTTATTTCTCCTTTTCTCTCAATGAATTTTGATTTTCAATTTTTAATACTATATATACATGTTGTACACATACACATTCTTGCCATAGAAAATGATTTTTAAAAGTAAATAAGCTAGTCGGTATTAAGTAGTTTCACATAACTTATGTCAATATTTTCTTTATAAATTTTTATGAGTAAATGGACATGACTTGAATTATAGTGTGTTTAAACCTTATAAAATCAAGTCACATTGTAATAGGTATATGCCAGAAGAATTTAATAGCATCAAAGTGACTTTTCGAATAGGTCTGTGTCATCACTAATTGGATGTCATGGAATCATTTGGGATTATAGCCTCTAGTAGGAGACATGCATTGTGATAATCATTCATTTGAATTTCATTTGTACTCATTGGACACAGAAACTCTTTTACCTTTGAGTAAGGCAGTCAGGATGGCTAAGTCAATGTCCTGGTGTCCTTCTGATCCCATCCGAAATACCGTGATCTGCAATTTGAGGCAAGATGGTCATTAGCAATGTATTTTTCTTCTCAAGAGAAATTAAATCAATGAGACCACCTCTAAACACAGAATCTAGCTTAATATCTACCAACTGTATTAACCACAGGGCAAGCACGGCCGCCTTGGTAGGAGGGCTCATCAATTCACTAAGAGGGAGATGTCTCAGTGACCGCCAAAGACTGCGTTAGATGATTGCGTCAATTGCAGTAACAGTAAAAGAAGGCAGAGAGCAAGAAAAAATGTCCTCTTCAGTCCTTTCAATTTAAAAATTAAGACTTGTAGTACTTACTAAAATCTATAAGCCATTAATGTAAACTATGAGTTGAGAAATTAATTTAAAAATAGCTCATCAGTATGCCCTTTAAAAAACTGCCCTACTGTGTGTGTATGTACGCATATGTGTGATATAACCTTCGCTATACTCGCTCCTCAGTAGCAGTTACCCAAGCATTTTGACACTGTGATGTCTCTGACCCTTCACTCTTCTCAATGACCTTGAGCTTCCTTTAACTTAGCTGTATGCCCAGATTGTAACAAGGACAAAGCGACAATGCAATAGTGTCTTTGTTTTTTGGTATTCTAGGAAAAATATATTCAGTGGGGAGAATAAGAGGGAAGAAAGTGAAGGTACAGCAGGGAAGAATTAGTACCTATGGGAGGCTTGCTCTTTGACAAGAAGAAGGGCCCAGGACTCATTGAAGAGGGGGTGTCATTGCTAACAATTTATACTATGAACTAGCCATTGGGAATACTATTTTTGTGATGTGAAAGAATTCTCCTCATAAACTTAAAATTTCCTGATGTTAAAAGAAAGACACAAGGAATATTATTTGTGTGTACTCACTATTTGTCAACAAAGATTTTGTTTCCGGATGCAACTAGAGATTGTACTAGTGAAATAAATCAGACCCGTATGTGTAAACTTTGTATTGTGTATTTAGTGTAAGAACATGAGAAGGTAAATAAAATCTGAAAGGTACAATAGATACTATAAAAGAGAAAAAAATCTATTCAAAGGGGAGGAAAAACTGAGATTAGGAAAAGGACAAAAGAAGGGGAGAAGATATATTCATGTATATATACAAGATAGATTGGATAATGCTCATTTCTGCTGATCTATTGAAAGGAGCAGATAATGCTTATTTTTTTCTTTTGTTCTTTTTAATTTCTTTTAACTTTTTAAACCAATTTTGTGTGTTTATATCTGGTAATCTAAACAACTAATTTGAAGTTAACATTATGTAATACAAGAACCATTATTGATTTCCTATTATTTTGTGTAGAAAAATTCTGTATTGTTTCTAATGTTTTCTCTTTTTTAACATTTTGTATTCTCTCTCTCCCTTTTTTTTTTTTTTTTTTTTTTTTTTAGGGAAGGGTCTATAGGGTGTACACACAGGGTCTCACTACTAGATCAGACTCGTGGTGATCCGCCTTTTTACAGCCTCCCAAGAGCTGGGATTGCAGGTGCACACCATCACGCTCAGTCTCACTTGCTGTTTTAGCGTGCCCCGGGGGTGGGGCCGGCATGGCAGGCCTGGGGATCGAACTCCCTGCCCCTGCGTCTGCTTTAATCTGCTGAGCTATTGTATTCTCTTTAAAAACTAAATAAAATATCCTTCAAAAGGCTTATAAAAACAAACAGAACAAAAGTCTTTTGGAAAGTTATGGCATTACCAGAGAGCTACACTGCTCAATGGATTGGTCTATTGATAAATTCGGAGCCCTCTCTACTGTTTGAAAATGATTCCTGTTGAAAGAGACCAGGCAGGACCTAGGAGTGCGCATGTGCACTCTCAGCTCCCCCCCCCAGCCCCACCTCCTAAACGTCGTGATGAGAGCAGTTTTTTTTTTTTTTTTTTTTTTTTTTGTGACCTCTCACCATGGTGTTTGAGCTTGCCTATCATGGACTCAACATACAGAAACCATAAGCCAAGATAAACCTCGACTGTCCTTTAAGTTCCAGGTGTCAGGTATTTTGTCTCAGGGACAGGGAAGGTGGCTAACACATGCCAGCGATAGGGCATGAAAGCAGCACAGCCAGATACCATGAGGTACCAGCCAAGAACAAGCTATAAGATGATTTTGGAACAAAGGCTTACATAATAACTGGGAAATAAAGAGTTTGCATTACAGAGTAAGACAGCCTTTCTTTTTATTAGCTTCATAAACATGCCACAGAACCTCATCATGAAAAAATGTAAGACTTTGCTAGAGAACATGAAAGACTACAGGAAGAAAGTGCCAAGTTAATCGGTGGGAAAATACAACATAGTCACTATGCCACTTTTCATTAAATGAAGACAGATTAATTATAATTTCAATAAAAATCCCCCCAATCCTTTGGTGGCTTTTGATAGACTCATTCCAGAAGTCATCAAAAAGGGTAGTGTTCTTAAAATTGCCAGGGGGACATAACGAAAACAAAAATTAAATAAAACAAACAAACAACACTCCTAGAATAAAAATAACGCTGGAAAATTTGTCTTCCCAGTTATAATGACTTATAAAATAATGAAATTTAAAAATATAGTATTGGTACTAGCATCAATGAATAAATTAATGAAATAGAAAATATAAAGGTGTTTACGTACACATAGGAATACTTTAAGTCACAGGGGACATTGAAAAATAGTTGGAAGAAAGATGATTCTATTTTTAAGTAAATGGTGCTGGAGTAATGTGCCTTACTGCTAAAACCTGAGCTACTTCACAAATCACACATACAAAATTCCATAGGCTTCTTTCTTTCTTTCTTTTTTTTTCTTGGTGGAACCGGGGATTGAACTCAGGCGTTTGTGCTTGCCAGGGAAGTGCTTAATCCACTGAGCCATCTCCCTGGCTCAAAATTCCATATGAATTTAAGACATAAAGTTACATTAAAAGTAAAAATATGTAAGACTATCACGGTAATTTAGTGTAGGTCGATGGCCTTTTCTTTTTACCTAATGGAATCCTTGGACTTACATTTTTTTTTAAAATCAGCCAATAGAAAAAACAGAGCAAATGTTTCACATTATTATTTTTGTGTTATCTGAACTTTTAAAAATATCTTTTGAAACAACCCTGGCTAGTTATTGCACACGTTGGTTAGGACCACCCTGCTTGCCTTTGTGCCTGGAGCCTCAGGGACATGTGTGCCCTCTAGGAAAAGCCACTGTAAGGAGATGCGTTTTGTCTGAGTGTGCTTCTCTACCTCCAGAGTCTGGAGAAGGGTGTCTCCACCCCATTCGTGCGGTGACAACTGATTAGCCACGTGATTGCTTTAGGAGCTGGGGCCTTTGGGAGATGGTAAGGCTGTGGACTTGCCAGTCTCCAGAATGATGGGAAGTAAACTTGTGTTGTTTGTGACCAATTTATGGTTATCTCTTACCGAAGGCCGAGTACACTAGGGCCACCTCCTTTTCCAATTAAAAAATGCAGCTAGGGGCCAGGGAGATAGCTTGAGGCTGGAGAGGTAGCTCAGTAGAATAAGCACTTGCTTGGCAAGTGCAGGGTCCTGAGTTCAATCCCTGGTACCACAAAAGCAAAACAAAACAGCAACAGCAACAGAAAACCCAAAACAATGGCAACTATAACTTTGGGGCCACTATTATATGTCAGATATAGTGACACATATTTTTTCCTTTTTAAAAATAGTTTATTTGTTTGGTACAGGGTCTCACTATGCAGCTCAGACTCATCGTGATCCTCCTGTCTCAGCCCAGTGTTGGGATTACAGGTGTATGCCAACATACCTGTTTTTGGGATGGCATTGCATGCAGTACTGGGGATTGAACCTGGGTCCTTGTGCTTGCCAGGTAGGCACTTATACTGCTGAGCTATCTCCCCAGCCTACTGGTACATATTTTCAAGTACATTATTTCCTAATTTTATATAGAGAAAATAAATATATCAATATACATGGATATATATGTAACCAATAAATCATTTAAATTAATACATATGGATAGATTAATAAGGATTGGCCGTCCAGGTCTAAAACTCCTAAATAGCTCAGCATTGACCCATTTAAAAGAGCAGAGGATGACTTCAAACAGATGGGCAAAAGCACATTCCACTGTTGGCAGGGTGTGGCTGATTTTGTGTTCAGCCCTAGCGTTGTGAGATTGTCACAGCCAATGGAATGACTGGTATGTGCAGAGGATGGCTGACCCAACAGGCTACCATTGGGTCACCAACAACATGACCACATGAGCGTGGGCATGTCCCTCAACTTCTGGTACAGTACCACAAGAGAAAACGGGAGGAGAAGTCCCAAAGAATACTTAGCAATGTGATCTTTCTTTTTCCCTCCAAGGCAGAGAAACCTATGTCAGAAAAGCAAAAGTTTATTTAAACACGTACACTGGGTTACTACTATATACTAAATAGTTTTATGCATTAAGTTTTCCTACCTGTAAAGTGGGAAATATTTCCTACCTGTAAATTGCCCATTTACAACTGTGTACAACATGAACTTTATACGATTTGCTAGCATATAATTTTCACAGGGGTCAGGGAGATAGCTCAGTAAAATAAGCGCTTGCGTGGCAAGCACGAGGGCCTGAGTTTCAATCCCTGGTTCCACAAAAAAAAAAAAAAAAAAAAAAAAAAATCAATATGACACATTTCAACTGTCAGTTGTGTTAGAAATCATGTAGTGCCCTGGCCAGAAACAGACTCATTTGCTTAAGTTTACACAAACTAGAAGGAGAGGGGGAAAGAGATTTATCTATATGGGTAAGCGGAATGGTTTGGACAACTGTACTGTGCATTTCTGTTGGTCTATGGAAAGAAGCAGTTAATGCTTTGTTTTGTTTACTTTTTTCAATTGTTTCTCCTTTTTGTATTCTTAATTTCTTATACATTTCTTCTTCCCATTTTCATGCATATATCTAGTAATATGAATAACTGGTTGGAAAACAACACTATGTATTACAACAAATACTGTGAAATTCGTATTACTTTGTTGAATGAAAAACTGCATCGCTTGTAATGTTTCC